CCCCCTCTCGCCCTCTCTCCTCCTATACGAACGCATGCTACAGCCAAAAAATTAAAAAAAAATTTAAAAAAATAATCTCTCCCCCCCACCCATGGCTATAAAGGTGGTGAAAATGAAAGAAGAAAAGAAAAAAAAAGAAGATAATAGAAGGAAGAAAGGAGAAACCCAACTTCTCATAGTGCCATCAACCCAACCTGCACCCTTGAGCAAAGTTGTGCTCCTTGACCTGAGGAACACAACTATCCCCACCGTAGCCTCCGGAAACCACCGCCGCCGGCGGAAAACCTGTTTAAAGCTCACGGCCACCTTGCAATTTTGCATAGAAAACCCTTTAAGAACTCGCCCAATTTGTTATATTAGGCTCCTTAGGTCCTTAGGAGACCAAGCCAACAATTTTTCATATTCCTCCCGGCCGTTAGCACCTCCTCAAAGTGAAGTCGAGCCAACTCCGACAAACTTCCAATCCGACGTAAAAACGACATCAAATCGACACCACGAGGACTTGGATAAGCTCAAAAATGTCTACTTATTCAAACCTAATTGAGGACAAACCTCTTAAGCTCAGGTATATCTCTTAAATTGAAACGATGATCCTGAGCTTTCATCTCTTCCATTTCAAAAAATAGATCATAAAACACCTAAGTATTTGTATGGATGTGATATAATCTTCAAATTGAACAAAATAAGCCCAATAACACGAAATTTGGTTGAGAATTGGTGGAGAACGGACTCTAGGAAGTTTTGGTCGTTAGTTCTCCTCCATGCGCGCGTCACAGGTCTCAGTGTCGCGTGAACGATTTTATTTATTTATTTTATTCAATAAATTATAACTAAACTTCAAAATTACATAATTTTTTGTAGATAACTCAAAAAAAAACCAACAAAAATATGCTATAAACTCAGAAAAATGAGAATAATTTTTCAAAACTGAAATCATAATTTTTTATAAACTAAATATTTTAAAATTATTTTTTGAAGTTTTAGAGTATTTAAATCATAAAAATTAAAATATAAATGGGAAAAATATGAAATTTGACAAAGATATTAAATGACTTGGCAATAATATTTCTTAATTTTTCCAAGTCATTTTGATTTCTCTATAGGGAGATTTCTTTTTTTAAGTGAAACAAGTCATTTTAAATGATTAAGAAAAATAAGAAATGTGAAATTTCCAAATCCTCCTTGATTTTATTCTTTAACTTTAAACACAGATTGAAAACCTTAAAACCATATTTAAAATCATTTTAATCATCATAATTCACTAATTAAGGGAGTAGGTTTCAGTTAGGTTGGTTAGTCTAACCCGAGCTCAAGCTAAGCCTAGTCTAGCCTATTTAGAGCTCATGTCAGTCTCCTAGCATTAGTGGGACTAATCTGAATTTATCTCCTTAGGGTCAACCTAATTTACCTAATATTTGGTTAGCCAACTTCAGGGTTACATTAGTTAGCCATCAAATCAATAGGATTAGCTAAACATAAACCTTAAGTTAGTTAAGTTAGTTAACCCTACCTTAAGTTAGTTAACCCTACACCAATAGGATTAGCTAAGCCTAAACCTTAGGTTAGTTAACCCTAATTCATAGGATTAGTTAACCTAAACCTTAGGTTAGTTAACCTTAAACCAATAGGTTTAGTTAACCTAAACTTTAGGTTAGTTAAGCCTAAATCAATATGATTAGTAAACCTTATGTTAGTTAACCCTAAATCAATAAGATTAGTTAACCTAAACCTAAGGTTAGTTAACCC